ACTGGTGAGCAGTTTTTTAATTGGATATTCCTGGTGTGACCTAGGAAGGATATTGTGTGCCTCCTAAGGGCAGAGTCTAAAGTCCGGGTTGTCTATAGCTCTCGGTCTGGGTCACCAACGGCTGGATAGAAATTAGGTCAAAAGTGCCCAATTAGGAACATAACACTGGGTTTATGCTCCCCCTGTGTTTTCATTTCCCCAATGGCAGGTTGTCCCACTTGACTTACCTGCCAGAAGTGAAATCACCTTCTTTGAGACAGATATGTGGTCCTCACTTCTGGACTTGAATTTCCATTAAGGTCCATTGAACACCTGATAGGAGTGTCTGTTGGCTTGGAGTGACCATAGAACAATGTTATGTGGCAGCAACTGATTGGTCTTCTTCTCTCCCCATCATGAGAAATTGACCCTAGCTTAGGTGAGGCCTTCTTTGTCCAAGTGGTTATTAAGATATACAAATAAGGAGGGTGATTTATGAATCATGAGCATTAAGCAGGCACACCACCTTGTTGCTTGGGAGACCCAATTAGAAAATGAAGTGACCTGAGAACAGATGCCTGCCTTTGTCTCAGTATTTATCCTTAAATTAGTGGTCTCTTACAATATTTGTCCTTTTGTGATTGACTAACTTGGATCAGCATAATGGTTTCCAAGTACATCCATATCATGAGATGCTTTGTCATTTCATCAATGTGTTTTTAGGGACCTATAGTATTCTATTGTGTGTATGTAGCAGAGTTTCTTTATCCATTTTCCTACTGATGGACATTTTTACCATTTCCAGTTTCTTCCTATTGTGAACTATGCTGAGACGAACATGGGAGAGCATACGTCTTTGTGTGTTGTGTCTCTTCTTTGGGATATATGCCTAGCAAAGTTGTTTTAAGTAGTGTCATATAGGTAGCTTTCAACAGTTATTATATAATTTCTTAACTTAATGCTATACAGTTTTTGCTAATATACTCCACCCAGGCATTAATTTATTCTTATTGGCATGGATTTTTACTATCATTGACCTCAGAATCCAAAAACCAAACTCACTGCCAACGAATTGATTCCAATTCATAGGAGTCCTGGTGCTGTAGTGGTTATATGTTGGGATGCAATTTGCATGGTCCGCAGTTCAAGAGAGAGAGAAAGAGAGAAAGAGAGAGAGAAAGAGAATAACAATGCTATAGACCAAAGTAAAACTGTCCCTGTCAATTTCTGAGATTGTAATTTTGTTTAATCATTTTATTAGGGGCTGATACAACTCTTATCACAATCCATACACACATCAATTGTGTAAAGCGCATTTGTACATTCATTGCCCTCATCATTCTCAAAACATTTCCTCTCCACTTAAACCCCTGGCATTAGGTCCTCATTTTTCCCCTCCCTCCCCCTTCCCCCTCCCTCATGAGCCCTTGATAATTTATGAATTGTTATTTTGTCATATCTTGCCCTGTCCGTCGTCTCCCTTCACCCACTTTTCGGTTGTTCATCCCCCAGGGAGGAAGTCACACATAGTTCCTTGTAATCTTTATGAGAGTAGAAAGCCTTATATTTATCCCTCAGAGATGCTTGTGGTTTTGAACTGGTGACTTTGCTGTTAGCAGACACTCAGGTAACCCACTAAGATAAGAGGGCTCCTTTGGCCACAGGTTAGATATTTAAATATTTCACAAGGTTTTATTTTTCTGACTTCCTCCTTGGTGTTCACAAACTACACCCAGAATTCTAGCTTCCACCAGCCAATTAGAAAGTAGTATCTCCTGTTTCTATGACATAATTCATAGTCAATAGATAGGAGTTTATATCTTTTTTAATTAACTCAGAGGGCAAAAATGGCAATTCCTTATTGGACTGTTAGAATTTCACTGCTTCACCTCCTACAGTCTCCCTAACAATTCATCATTCCTCAATATAAGGAACAAAATATAACTTTACTTATAATATGTCGCCAACTTTGTCAGAACACCACCTTTGATTTTCACACGCAAGTCCTACTAACCATCCTGCCTTTGAAATCTGAACAAAGATAAATGCATGGCTTTAATATATAGTATGTAATCAGTATTATTCTCTGGGTTGCTTTCAGAGGAGTAGGCATGGCATTTATAAAATATTATTTATCTTTCAAGGAACTCTGGTGGCTCTGGGATTCAGTGAGTCAAGGTCAAACCTACCAGCTTCTCTGAGTGAAAAAGATGAGGCTACCTGCTTCCATAAAGGTTTATAGACCCGGAAACCCTACATAGGCTTGCTTGCTCTAAGTGGGAATAGACTCAGTGGCAGGAGAGATTGAGTGATCTTTAAACCTATAGCACCCAGGTCACCTGGGAACTTGCTATTATTATGTAAATGTCCTTGGTTTATGTGATCTCTGCCCAACCTAAAAGTATATAATAATGCTTGGTTGAAAATTTTGACTAAAACAACTTACAGTTAACCCAAATAGACATTTAGGAGGCCATTAAACTCAAAACCTCACAGCCATCTAGTCAAAGTTTACTCAATAGTGACCCCTTGTGGGTTTCTAAGGCTGTAACAGTTTACTGGAATAGAAAACCCAACCTTTTACTGAGCAGCTGGTGGTTTCAAACTGCTGACCTTATGGACCCAATGCATAGCCACTATACCACCAGGGCTCCACATGTGCATCCATTAGTTGATAATATAAATGGTTAGGTACTGAGCTACTAATCGAAAAGGTTGTGGTTAGAATCTACCCAGAGATACCTCAGAGAACAGACCAGCCTATCTATTAACAGATCAGCCTCTCTACTTTTCAAAGACTTTCTGCCATTGAAAACCCTGTGGAGTACAGTTCTGTGAAATACAGGGAGTCCCCATGGGTTGGAATTGACTCCCAACTCCATTGTAACAGATGGATTGGTTGGTTGACAGTAGAAAATTAACAGGAAGATTTAAAGATAAACATGTGAGGCAAATGGTGTTGAAAAGAATAGTCAAAAAATCAAGAAGGCTTAATTATTAAAGACAGTAGATTGAGCTGTGGCTTGGTGAACTTGGGGAGCTAAGAGACATTCTCCCTTAACTGATGGGAATAACAACAGAGCAGGGGAACATGATTGTTCTCTGTGATTTTCATTACTGTATCTTTAGGGTGTATCCTACCCAGTCCAGGATACAGCCCAGTATTCACCTCTACAAATTCCTACAAATTTAAAAATAATAATCACCCCACCACTATTTTCATCTTATGGCAATAACAATTTGGGGAGGCTGAAACAGCATGCCTTTTATAACTCGGACTACAGATTGATCTCCAAGTAATCCTAGTGGCCCTGTGGGTTAAGCATTGGGCTGCTAACTGAGGGATTGGCTGTTCAAACCCACCAGCCTCTCCATGGGAGAAAGATAAGGTTGACTGGTCCCATAAAGATTGATAATTTCTAAAATGTTACCTACATGGGGTGGCTATAAGTCAGAATTGACTCAGTGACACCGAGTTGATTCGACTCCCAGTGACTACATAGGACAAGGTCAAACTGCCCCCTGTGGGTTTCTGGGACCTTAGTCCTAAGAGAATAGAAAGCGTAGTCTTTCTCTCTCTGAGTAGCCCAATTCCAAACTATTAAACTGAACTCCACCTCTTTGTGGAAAGTGAAATAACTCCTTTGTGGAAAGTGAAAAAAAAAAAGCTATAGGAAGAGTTCTACCAGGAATTAATACGAGTAAAAAGTCCTACCAAGATATTTAAGTCTTGGAGCATGTGTAAATGTTTGGCAGGCAAATAGATGGAGGGATCATTCCCTTCAAAGTAACAAAGGGGAAATAGAAACTTCTAATATGATCTAGAAGTCTGAGAAAATCAAAGTAGCGTAGATGAAGGATGGCATGAGTAGGGATTGAGGAGTGTGAACTGGGGCTTGATGGAAAGGTTCTCAGCTAGCTGCGCAGATGTTATGTTTGATCTCGATCACTGAGAAACCCTTTCCTTTCCCAAACGGAGAAACTTAAACCTGGAATAATTAACAAACTGCTCAACTCCTCTACATGCAAAGTTGTTGTCCTGAACTAATATCACCAAAAATATCCCGCAGCTGGTTTCACTGCCTAAAACTCACTGCCGTTGAGTCAATTCCACCTGAGGGATTGGCCCTATAGGATAAGGAGACCCTATAGGATAGGGAGAATTTCTTCTTTGGGTTTGTGAGGCTGTAAATCCTTATTGAAACTGAAAGTCTCATCTTGCAACTGGTAGTTTCCAACAGCTAATCTTGCAGTTACAGACAAGACCCCTGAGGGTGTAGTGGTTCCCAGTTAGGCTGCTAACTGCAAGGTCCACAGTTTGAACACACCAGCCACTCTGCTGGGAAAAGGCAAGGCTCTCTACTCTTAAAAAGTTAAAATCTGGGAAATGGAACACTTACAGGGGAGATTCTATCCTGTCCCATAGGCTCACTTGATGACAGAGTTTGAACCTTACAATTAGCAGCTCAAAGGGTAAATCACTCCATTACTAGGGTCCCATTGTAAGAAAAGCAGATTCTCAGCCCTGCCTCAAATGTACTGAAAATTTGCATTTTAACAAAAATGTATAGGGAATTCCTAGTATGTCTTGAGAAGCACTGACCTAATACCATTGGGGGAGAGGGGTATGACGACCTGTTTCCGTTGGATTCCTACATCTCTTTTACATCCTGTGGTTTTGATAGCCCAGCAGGATACATCATAGCCTCTGTTCTTAAATTGAGCCTAGGGAGAAATCCGAGAAAATGCCCACCACATCAAAAGCCTCTTAAAATCCCGCAAAAGATAGATGCCTCTGGGGTTTGGGTTGCCCTATAGTCTTTCCCATCTAATTTAGTGACAGCTGCAAACTCTGGAATTCTTTGCTAGAAAACTGCAACTTTAGCCTGCCGCTGGCTTTAGCCAACCTCTGACGGAGACAATGAGTGAGGCAGCACCGCGTCAAATGGTTGCCTAGCGACAGCCATTCACACCAGTACTTAAACAGCCTAAACTGTGTGCCTGCAACCTGGAGGGCAGCCATGGACCAGAAAAGATTTTCCCTGGCTCCCTGTGCCAGGCGGAACCAGAAAAAAGAAGTGTACGTGAGAGTGACCCCAGCAGAGGTTAAATTTTTTGACACGGTTGTAGGGAGAGTGTATCGCTTTCCAATTACGGTTCACAACATTGGTCACTGTATGCAAAAGATCCAGTTTGAAGAGCCACCAAAGCCACAGGTGATACACTAAGGGGCGCCAAAGTAGATTCTGGAGAGGGTGGGAGCTTTGAGGGTTCTTTTGTTATCCCTAGTTATATACATAGCTGATATTAGGGCGGGAAGGAGTGGGGGCCAGGGGACCGATCGAACTTCACAGCCCAGCGCGCGCCGTTTATGGGGTTTTTTTTTTTTTGTCTCTGTGTAAGTGAGCAAGCTTGCGCGTGCCTTTTCCCTCTCTTTGGTTTTAATGGGCTTCTTTTCTGTTGCTTTTTGCTTCAGGGTGGGAGATAGGGAGGAAAATGCGGCGGCAAAGTTGCTGTATAGCCTCGCTATTTCTTCATCCAAATTTTAGAAAGAAGGAAAGAGAACTCTCCGACTGTCTCCTCTTACTTAACCCAGCCAAATCTTTGATTCTTGGCTTCATGATACTGTAGTTCTCTCATAAACATAATGAGGTATTTAATCAAAAGTCTATGGGATGGGGGCTTCCAAAAATACGGTGAAAACTGCCATAATCATTTCATTCCAATTTTCCACGAATTTTTTGAAGCCCCCTCGGATTAACTATCCTTTGAATAATGAAGTGTCAGATACTGTAGAATGAGTAGAAATAATTGTTACTGGACTGTTAACAAGCGTTAATTGAGCACCTGGTATGTAGTATTCAGGGTTGTGAAGCATCTAGGAGCCCTGGTGGTGGACTGGTTACACGTTGGGCTGTGATCTGCATAGTCAGCAATTGGATACTGAGGGAGAAAGACTGGGTTTTCTACTCCAGTAAGCAGTTTCTGTCTCAGAAACCTACAGGAATCACTATGAGTCAGCAGTGACTGGATGACAGTGAGTTCTCTTAAAGAGTTGTGGGAGCCTACAGCAAAATGAATGTTCTGAGAGGCTGTTCCAATCTTGTGATCTAAGCCAGCAACATTTCATGTTCTATAACTGACAGTTCATTTACATTGTGTATGTGCCTGGATGGATATTATTTCACTATGTTCATCAATTTCCAGGGAGACTTGACAGAGTGATAGACTGATTAGAATTTATGATATGTAGGTGATAAGTAATTGGTTTTAATGGACTGTAAGATTGACTGAGATATTGTACACATTTGTTTCTATATGCACAAGAGAGAGATGGCAGTGATTAGGTGGCAGTGAGTAAAATGATCCTCGTTCTACTTCATGTACTGTTTTTAAAAAGATACCATTTATATGTAGAATGGTGTACAGCCAGAATGCTGTGAGGATGGTGAGATTTCAATTCCATTATTTGTGACAGTTCATCAGGAAAGACCAATCACTAGAAAATGACATCACTTTTGGTAGAGAGTCAGTGAAAATGAGGGACACCTGCAATGGGAGAGAGCGAAACATAATGGACTCAAACATGTCATTGATGATAAAACTGTCACGGGTCCTAGGTATGTCTCTTTCTGTTGTGCATAAGGCCATCATGAGGTGGCACTGACTCAACAACACTTACGGAGAACAACAAGCTTGTTGACTATACACTTTGCTGAATATTCGTGTGTTTCTTTAGCTACCAATTGAATGAAGTCATAGAATATTTCCAGCGCCCACGGGGTTTCCTCATGCCCCTTTCCTAGGGTACCTGGAATATTCACCTCCTAAAGGTGACCATTCTGTTTTTTAACACCATGGAAATAGATTCATACTTCATACATTTTTGTGTTTCCGTGTTTTATAATACCAGTGTAATGTTTAATAAAAAGTGTATCTCAAACTTACCCATTCTTCCTAGCTCACTCTTTAAAAGTAGCTGATTACTATAGATTTGGTTAAATTAGGGGGAAAGTTTCTTAAATTTAACTAGCTTAACCCTCATTTGGTGAACCATTGAGAGTACATCTATAAGTATTTCCTTTTAAAACTTAAGCTGACAATATTCCTGGATACGGGCAAATACTATATTATGCATGTTCTGGAGACACTTGTGTGGGTGGTCGATGGGCAATCAAAAGACGATGAATGATTCTTCTAACATACAACAGTACATATTTTCAATTCTGGCTCCAGATTGCATTGACTTTACGTATTGAGTACATACTTTGTGCTAGATATTGTACTATCTACTATGGTTTTGGGATAAAAGATAAATAAGGTACACTTTTACTTTCAAGGAACATGGGGCTAGAAATTCTTTGCCTGATACTCGGTGCCTTCCTTCAGTCTTACAGACGCTACCCATCTAATAATTGTTCAGGAGCTCAGACCCCAGCATGAACAAGAATGAGTGAATTATTCTCTGAGTGGGAAGCGAATAAACCTGCTAGGCAATAATAAAATGTTAAGCCAATAAGTACAGGCTAGTTGTACTTATCATTGCACCCCCTTCCACTTCCAACAATGGATTCACCTTCTTTTACTTTTGGTTCACATTTCTATTTATTAAGCTGCAAGAGTCACCTTTTTCTAAATTTCATCTCTCTTTCAGGGTCTGTCTGTATAGGCCTCATTTTCTCTACAATGTTTGATACCGTCTCTAAATGATTTCTTCCCTACTAGATGCCTATTGCGTGTATGGCCATTCCATTATAGAGTTTCATATCACTAGGGGAGTGCTCAGTAACTGGAAGTTTGCCCAAAGTCATGTGTTGCTGAAACACTGCTTTCCCTTCTTATCAAGTCTATTGTCCCTTCCAGCAGCTCTAGACTGAGTAAGCAGCCTTCCAGAAGCCAAAAGCCCATATGGGTAATAATTTATTGTGTTCTTTCTTTCTGCCCAATAAATGCAGAGAGATTGAGAGTTGGACTGTGGCAGTCTTTAGGGTGCAGAAAGTTTGAGCTCTTTGACCAGTGGTCTCAACAAGTCACTCCAGGACTCAGTAATGCTTCATTGTTCTAGAACACTGCTTATACTCAGCCTGTCAAGAGACACCCAGGATGCTTAATCCCAGTAATGCTGCCAGTGTTACTGATTGAAGACACTTTGTCTAGCAGGTTTATTAGTTTCCCACTGAAAGACTAATTTGCTTCTTATTTATGCTTGGGTCTGAGCTCTCATTGCCCCCATAGGGATCAACTTCCTTGCTTTTATCCTCACATTTTACATTTGACCTCAAGTCTAGATAGAGTGCACCATTTCCTAACCCATAATAATCACGTCTTTCCATGAATTTATGTGACACTTATGTTTGAATCATATGATACTTGATTAGAAAATAGCTCATGCCATTAAGTTTCAAGGGGTGTAGATCTTGCTTCATTTGTAAGATTATTCATTTCCAGTTTGTGGAGAATTGCTTAAGGTTTAGTCAGAGACATCTGTATTTTGAATCCTCCCTGCCTGAGTGACTAGTGACACAAAGTGCATTCTACAGTCTTCATATCCCTCTCTCATCTGTTTGCTGGGAGCCCTAAGATTGGCCTCACAGAACTGTAGAAGTGTGTTCAGAGAGCTGCTAGACAGGATTCTTGATATAGCATGAGTGTTCATCAGATTTCAGATTTCTTCTGTAGTTAAAAGTTTCATGAGAGCATAAATGTTTTTTCCCCTCTTGGTTCAATTTCTCTTTTATACATCCTACTAGTTATGAAACTTTTATCTTCATGAAGAAAGCGTACCAAACACTTGAGCAACATTTTAGTATGTTTTCCTCCCTTTGTATTAGATTTTCAACTTACTAAAATGGAGGCTATGCCAGTTTTGGGGAGAAAAAAAACCTCGTATTTTTTAAGTAGCCCAGGGACATTTACGTGATTTTTTTCTACGTTTGTAAATTTTAAGTTTCAATTAATGGACTGTTGAAAACATGTATTAAGAATCTAGATCCAAGAGATATGCATATAGTCATTGAACGTTTTGTCTTTAGGACAGAAATAAGGCCTATATCCTGAGATGTCTGGTAGTAATACACTCTCCGAACTACACTCACAGCAAGAGCTAAGGGAGTAGTGGGGGCCAAAGTGGTTGGCTGTTAACAAAAAAACATCAGCAGTTCCAACCGTTTCCACTCCCTATAAAGAGTTTGAAAGTACCATTTGAGATTTGATGTTTTTCTTTGTTTTCCTCCACTGCAGTTCAAGCTACTGCTGAACAACATGGAAAAAGAACTTGCCGCTGGACTTTACATGACAGTAATGATCGAATACCACCCCGATAAGAATGAAGACGTTTATGACCAATTGATTATTAACACATGTAACACCAAAATAGAAATACCTCTAATGGGGTATGCTACCTTTTTTATTTTATGGTGACATTTGGATCAATTTTCAAGTGTAGTGAAAAGGCTATTCTGTATTTTCTCTAATCGATAGACTTAACTTTTCCTAAAGTTGAACTGAAAGAAAAACTTTTTAGAAAATTGTGGTGTTTGAAGCAAATAGAAATCTAGCTGTTTGAGACGACTTCTTAAAATAACTTAAAAACACTTAGCAATTGATTGTGATTAATTGGATTTTTTTGAATCTATATTTTCATTGCATTGACATGTGAAATTCACTTCATTGAATTAAAAATAATTCAGATGTTTGATTGGGAAGAAAAATGGTGATATTTGGGGATTGATTGGTGAATGTGGGCAGATATGAGGTGCATATATCTAAGTTTTTGATGTAGAGGTTAACTTTGATACAAAGCACTCATTTGACCAGGAGTTTGTTGCATTCATTTCAAAAGGAAAACTGTATACTTATCTTCATTATAAAATTTCTTACAAAACTTGCTTTCTAGTTTCTTAAGGTAAGGAATTAGGTATCATCTGACCTACTTTGCCTTGCTAAAATAAATTCCACCTTTCTTGAGGTGAGTCACAAAAGCTACAAACAGTTTTGAAAAATAAAAATGTCATTGAAGTAAATGGATACCATCTTAAGGTGAGTACTTGGGTGCAGGTTTATATCATTTAAATGTCTAAAAACTGATGTGTTAAAAATGTTTTGTTTTCAGATATTTATATCACAATTTCTTCTATTGACAAGTATGGTAGCAATGGACTGGTAAGGATAGCAGAATTTTTTTAAGGGCTTGATATAGATAGATAGATAGATAGATAGATAGATAGATAGATAGATAGATAGATAGATAGATAGACAGACTTATCTATAAATTTGAGTCATAATTCACTAGATGTCTATAGGTATAGATTTAACAGTTAGGCTCTGTTAGTGGCAAATTAATTAAATACTCATTTTTCCCTTCCCCTAGGCTAATTCCATCCTGTGACTTAGATATTCCACCAGAAGTTAATTTTGGCTCATTGGTGGCCAAGAGCAAAGTGCACTCTAAGGAGATTAGTATTCGTAACTTTGGAAAATCTCCAGGTAAAGATTTTCTGTCCTATAAATTAATTTATAATTTTGTAAAAACGTTGAGATTATTTGAAACGGTTGCCTTATGAAATTTCTAGGCCAATTATTTGAAGACAGACAGGTAAAATTTTCAGGAAAAAAATTGAACCTACCGATGTCTAGTAGAGCTCAATCAAGGGCAATGTAGCAGCAAGGAATTACTAAACCCAAATGAAGGCCGAACATGATGGTGGGACAAGAGGGAAGTAAAAAGGAAATAGAGGAAAGAACCAGGAGGCAAAGGACATTTATAGAGGCCTAAATACAGGCATGTACATATGTAAATATAATGATAGGGGAATAGAACTATGTTAAGAATTAAGGTTGCAGATGGATATTGGGCCTCGACTCAAGCACTCCCTTAACACAAGAATGTTCAAACGATCCAGAATTCTGTGATGCTCACCTTCTTGACATGATTGCTGAAGACAAAATGGGAGCATAAGCAAATGTGGTAAAGAAAGCTGATGGTGCCCGGCTATCAAAAGATATAGCGTCTGGGGTCTTAAAGGCTTGAAGATAAACAAGCAGCCATCTAGCTGGCCCACATGGAAAAAGCACACCAGCCTGTGTGATCATGAAGTGTCGATGGGACCAGGTATCAGGCATCTATGACGACCCAGAATCAAACCATACCCAAGATGAACTGGGGGCAGGGGTGGTATTGCTTGGAGATCCAAAGCCCATTTATAGACAATTGGACATCCCCTCACAGAGGGATCACAGGGAGGAGATAAGCCAGTCAGGGTGCAGTATAGCACTGATGAAACAGAATGTTCCTCTAGTTCTTTGGTGCTTCCTTCACCCCACTATCATGACCTCAATTCTACCTTACAAAGCGGATTAGACCAGAACATGCACACTGCTACAGATAAGAGCCCGAAACACAGGAAATCCAGGATAGATAAACCACTCAGGGCCAACGAGTATAGAGATACCAGGAGGATTAGGGGAGGGTGTGGAGAGAGAGGGGAAACCTATCACAAGGATCAAACTAGAACCCCTTCCCAAGGGAACGTATAATGGAAAAGTGTGTGAGGGGCGACAGAGGATGATGTATGATATGGAAAAAAGTAATCTATAACTTATCAAGGGTTCATGAGGAAGGGTGGGCAAGGGAGGGAGGGGGAAGAAATGGGGAGCGGATATCAGGGGCTCAAGTGGGAAGAGAATGCTTTGAAAAATGATGGCGGCATACGTGCAAATGTGCTTGGCACACTGGAAGAATGTATGGATTGTGATAAGAGATGTAAGAGCCCCCAGTAAACGTATTTAAGAAAAAAAATTGAATCTACCTCTTTAAAGAACCTGGATCTGTAAGATCCACTCTGGCTCTTGGATGTTTGCTGAACTCCCAAAGAATAGGAGACAGGATGCTATCATGAAAGTGAGGTGATGCATAAAGCCATCCAGAAATAGAATCATGGTGCCATGCCTTACTGTGATTGAGATAAGTATCTTCAATAAGGTTAAATGAAGACACTTGAATTTGCTAAAAAATGTACCATGTAGTGCTTGTATGCATTTAAGATTATGAGGTTCAGGTGCAACATATATAAAAGTCCTGATAAGGTTTCTGACTCAACATAGGCATGTGGTCAATATTTGTTCTTTGTATTACCACATTCATCATTGAATTTACAGTGTGGCCCCCTGGTGATTTGTTTAAAGAATAAGTCTTCCAGATGTGTGTGCACATGCATGTGTACTCTTCATTGACAATATATAGCAGGCAAATAATGACTTATTCCTTCAGTATCTTGGTGAAATGGTCAGTTTTTGGGGTGGCAACGCTACCGTACCTGTCACTGAGGACTGCCTCAGGAAGGAAGGCCCCTCTCTGGAAACATGAAACAACATGTCAAACCCCAACCCCTTTCTCACTAACTTGCGATGCCCCTCTAGAACCACTTGATTGCACACTGGGAAAGGTAGTTTGTCACTTGACTGATTTGTTTCTGCAGTCAAATAAAACTAATTATTGGTCCTCACTAAAAATGTGGCACAATTTGCTTTGGTTTTTAAATACTTATGAAATTATAGAATATTGGGGTCATATGGTGCGACAGAGGAGCACTAGTGGACTTTCTACCCCTGGAAAGTTAGTTTCAGAAACTCATAGGTGGCAGTTCTACCCTGTCCTATAGGGTGTCTATGAGTCAGCATCCACTTGATGGCAGTGAGTGAGATCGTGCACCAGTTAAGCACTCGACTGCTAATTGAGCGGTTGGCCATTTGATCTCACCAATCAGCTCCACGGGAGAAATATTTTATTATTTCATTGCTCTTGTAAAGATTACAGCCTAGAAAACTCTACCGAGCAGTTCCACTCGGTTATATGGAATCACTATGAATTGGAATCAGATCAATGGCACCGAAAAACAACTACATATGGTTTGATTCTTATGTTTAAAATGCAGTCTGTTATAAGTGACTGGGTAACATGGTCTTTAGACTCCCTGGTTGTCTTTTCAAGCAGTGATGTGCAATTAGAGAAGTTTCCTTGTCTTATTTTATTTTCCTCACCTGTGATTTAACTATTATCCATTCACATTCCTTCTGTATTTTGATCAGAACAGTGCATACTCTTTTAAATTGCATGGTTTTTCTACAGGTGAAAGCTCTCTCATGGGAAACAAACTTGTGAGTTTAATTTATTCAGTAAGGTAAAAGAAGTAAAATTAAGATGCACACATGGTTCCATAAATTTGAGGGAAAAGTGATCTACATTAGTGTCTGGTTTTGTGCTAATATTTTGTGTGTGGATAGTATTTGCAGTAATATCACAATTGGTTAAGTTTATTATAATTTAGTACTGTGAAATGTTACTTACTTTTACCTTACAAACAGAAACAAACATGAATTCTATTTTCCTAATCTTTACTAATCATTCTTGGAGTGGATCACATTATTTCTTTCCATGTTTACCTAAGTTGATAGTATGTGTCATCAGATAAAAGTGACTTAGTGAGAGGAATTCACACAGTGACTGCAACAGTAGGCTCAGACATAGCAACACCTGTGAGGAGGGTGGAGGTCTCAGGAGTGTTTTGTTCTGTTGTACACAGGGTCACTATAAATTGGAATTGACTTGATGGTATCTAAAAACAGCAATATTCACAGTAGTGAATACTCATCAAGTGTCATAAAGCTTTTATTACATGCAAGTACAATTCTATACATATATGCATGAGCATGGCAATGTATATTCCTGGCTGAAAAAACACTAATGCACAAAAGAGATTCAGAAAATAAAAATGATTTTAATGAAACAAAAAAATGAATTTTATGTAAGAAATATTTTATAGGTTTATAGTAAAATCATACACAAATTGATACATACACTTAAGAGGTCATAAAAAAATTCACACTCTGCACATTCTTGATTTATGCAACTTACATTTCTCTCTGGCAGATAACCGGGGTGATTATCTTTGGATATGTAGACCCCCAAAGTCAAGCTATAGAATGATTTCTTGATGGTCTTTTAATAGCCCATTATGTAGTAACCATGCATGCATTTAATCCAAAGTTTAAAAGTCTTTTTTCTTTATTCAGCCTTCAGAAAATATTTCCTAAATTTATTCCTGACTTTGCATTATCACACTTACATTTTCTTTTTCAAAAGTCATGATTTAGTTTTTAAAATATCTGGTGAAGTGTTTTATTATTTTATACTATACTATTCAAATATTCCCACAGCTTTTATATTTAAAGGTTGAAGAAACATCGTTATTTGAGCATACTTTGAATTATAAACATATTCTCCTTCCCCCCGGATGGGGAGCAAGCAGTTGTCATGGAGACAATTCCATGTGTGTCATTGTAGAAGTGTGCTCCCCAGTGCTTTCAATGGCTGTTTTCAGAAGTAGTTCACCAGGCCTTTATTCCAAGGTGCTTATTTGTGGACTTTATGTTAGCAGCTAAGCGCCCTGTTTACATCAGGCTCCATCTTTCCCCTGAGTACCCAATACTATTTAACTAGACATTTTCTAGTACAGTGTTATGATGATGTAGCAGTCTTCAAACCTACCACAATCTTTACACACTTTTAGGTTTAAATAGCTACCTCAAAACTCACCATTTGCCAAGATAATTTGACCATTTTGCCCTAAATATATGATAATGTTTTTCTTGCTCTTAATTCCCATCTTTTCTTCCACCTGATCACCAACATCACCTTTCTGCGTCACTGTGTAGAGGGGCTGGTATCATAAAAAATTAAGAAATGTGTTAAATTCTACCAAGGCTAGCAGTAGTTCTTGGGAACCTCTTTAATGCCTAGAGGAGCATTCCCTACTTATTCTCAACGTATTGTGGTTTTTATTGCTGTTCAGTTTTGTTTTCTTGGAAACTCACCATGGAGGCTCAATATTTTCTGTATGCTTGACATAATACTGAGCATATAGCAGGCACTTACTAATCCTTTGTTTTCAATTTGATTCCTTGATGACTTTTTACTCAGTTTTAGCAAAGAACCATTAAACTTTCAATGAAAGCTGATTAGACTCGATGTAAACTGTTTCACTTACTATGAACATTCTGTAGAGTCTCCCAAGCTTATTGGTAAATATATGAATTGGCATAGCCTTTTTGTGTTTTTCTGGTTTGATACTCCGAATAATTTTACACACATTTCTCTTTCTTAGATGGTTATTAAAAGCATTTTGGAAGTGTAAGGTCAGGTGAGGGAGCAGTGATGTTTCAGTAATAGCAGTCAGTAGTAGACCTTGGTTTGATTCTGTGCAGCCACCACCTGTCAGTGGATGTAAGTTGCTGTGATGCTGAAAACAGTTTTCAATGAAGTTTCCAGACGAGGAAAAACCTGGTGATCAGTTTTTAAAAATAAATAAAACCTCCATGGATCACAATGATTTAATCCAAAACTGATCATGGAGATTGCTTAGAACCAGGCCAGGCGTTGTTACATTGTGCATGGGGTCACTGAGTGAGAGGCACTCAGTGGCATCTAACAACAGCAGCAAAGACAATCTAGCAATAGATATTTTGCTACCCAATGTCTAATGTGTTTCTCTAGAGAGAGGAGAACAACTCTGATTTAAAAATCCAGACAGGTTTGTGTAACTTCCAAAGTGGGTGATACCATGCCCTGGAAAGCACTGGAACCATCCAGCAGGGAAGCCCAAGAAGATACCTACACTTTATCCTGGATTATGGGGTATAGCGAAAAAATTTTGAACTGCCAGGGGGTTCTGAGTATTTTTTTTCTGAAAAGGAAGCAACAAGTGAAGTCAGTTTGGGAGCCTGTGGTGTAAAGGACCCTTCACCCTAAGCACAGATGTGGGTTCTCACATCTCATGTGCTATGCTAAACTTCAACACTGCCAAGTCTACAGGTTTGTCTGATATGGCTTATTAGCGATATTTTAAATGTTTGGTCACTGCCACCCTCTGAAAAAAACACTTCACTTCTAGATCATGCCATCCTCACATACAATAATAATTGTAGCACAGGTCCTGGAGTGAAGTTGACCAGGGCTCCAATGTGGGCTCCTTTTGCCAAACATCCATTGTATCACTAGTAAAATGGAGATAAATCTAATTCCTGCTTCTATAATTGTGGTGGATATTAAAATGCACTGTATGCTCTGTGGCATATATTAAGCATTCAATGAACATTTAGCTTTGTATCATTAGTATTTATCTAACTTTTCCCATTAACGGTCCTTTTGTGCACTATTTCTGAAGTGTAAGTGTTAAGATTTTCCGTGGGCATCCATATTCTTATGTCCCTTGGCAATTAATTTTATTCCTTTCTCTTCACTAACTACCCTTAACTATGCTAAACTAAGTACTATGATACTATTATTCTCTGGGTCTCCTTCAGGCATCTCCAACTTAACAAGTCTAAAACTGAACATAGCTTGCCCTGAAACGTAACTTTTCTCTTTTACACTAAATAACAGCAACATTTCCTTGAGCAAGTTAGAGATTTGCCAACATTCTTGTCGTTTCTCTTTCCCACCTACTACTGTCATACTACGTTCAATGCATTGCCTTTATAAATATGTCAGAAATCCTACCTAGCTCTGTCTCATTGACACTTCTGTACAACAGGTCATCATCTTCTCTTGTCCAGTGATCACACCAACTAATGACTTTCTAGCTTTCCAGTTCATTTTCTATATATTGTCAGTTTCAACTCCTACAGGTCCCATATGACTGAAATGCCCTGTCGGAATTTCTAGATAATAATCTTTAGGAAAGTAAATCACCAGATAGCTAGTGTCATGTCTGAGAAAAAATGTCTTAATCTGTATCATCTTCTCAGTGCCACCTTTTTCTTAAGATGAAGTCCCTGCATCTGTTGTTAGCCACTAAAAACAAGACACATGGACACATAACTCACTTCAATGTGTCAATACTGATTCATAGAGACCCTATAGGGCAGGGTTTCCAATGCTGCCATCTTTACAGAAACAGCCTCATCTTGCTCTTGTGGAGAGCCTGGTGAGTTTTTTCCCGAATAAAATTTTGAATTCACATAAACTCTTTGCTCAAATTACATTTAAGTGGATATAATGTGTAGTAGCTATTTAACTGAATTTGGTTTTATTTTTTGCTAGATTCCTAAGTCAGTAATATCTACTCATCTGAAACAGATTATTTTACAGATTTTAGCTTAGTTTTATGACAGAAAAAAAATGAACCTTAAATATTCAAGTCATGAGAACTTCTTAAAAATTACTGGATTAACCACTTTTATTACTATGACTTTATTTCCCTCAGGTCATCTCTGGCATACATTGTTTATATTTCAACATTTTATTATGGCAATATTTTGTTCTCTAAGTTATATGAATATCTTTTTAGGAATGTAATCAAAAGTGATTTCTAAGTGGTGAGTTTGGAATTTGCAAAGTTCTTTAGGTTAACAGTATGCTCATTGGTGTTAATATTTTGAAGCACTGTTAAAGAGACACATGATTGACTACATCTATTTGTTGAGTATATTTTGCATACTGTTTACTATTAGGCACAGTGATTTTTTAAAAAGGATAACATTCATGCATATGGATACCTTGCATTACCATGAATTATTATTTCTGTTTTTAAAATAAAATTTTATATAGTCTTCTTCTCATGTGCTATTTGATCCCAAAATTGCATTTCGCCTGTTCTAACCCTGAATAAGTGCTTATGTTGTATTGATTCATCTACACAGAAGTGATACTGGCTAAAACTATGAGTCTCGGGATTAGAAACACCCAACCGAAAAATCTCAGCTTTGCTAGTCAGTAGTTGTTGCAGTTAATTCTTGCTGTGTAACAAATCATCCTGAAACCCAGTGATTTAAATGGGAATCTTTGTTTAATTGTTCATGTGTATGCAGGTTTGTTATAATGCAATAGATCTATGCTAGTCTAAATTGCATGTTCCTGCTCCTTTAAAACCTTTATTTGCTACTAGGGATACTGCTGCTTCTTATAGATCTGTGGGTCAGCTGGGATTTCTCTGTCCCACATGTGATCATTCTTGGCCCAAGCTTGCCAGGAGAAGCACTTTCCATGGTGGGATTTCAAAAGAATATCAAGAGACTATTTGGCATTCTGTGATTTCCTCCCTAACCAATCCAGTTCACACAAGTCCAACATTATGGGTTAAAGTAACACATTTCATGAGAGGGTTAGTGTGTGGATATAGAGATGGGTCAAGAATTTGCATCCACGATGTAAATTAACAGACTAGTTATGTAACTTTGGACAAATCAATCAACCTTTCCAAATTTCAAATTCTTTGTTTGTAAAATGGAGATGGATGATTAAATCTAACAGATGTGCTATGAGGATTAAATGATGTACGGTATGCAAAACCCTCTGGACACACAACTCAACCTTCCTAGACTTCAAATTCCTTATTTATAAATGGAAATAAATGATCAACCTATCTAACAGAATTGCTATGAGGATTAAATGGTGTACAGTATGCAAAAGTCTTAACATAAATGTCTGAACACAGCGAGTATACAGTATTTTTTAACTATTGATTTGGGTTTGGGCTTAACTTGAAGCTCAGGATTGTTGAATGACAACAGATACTGAACTTAAAATCTGAGCTGTGATTCTTCGTCCACAGTGGACTTTCTGACCTGTATTGTTTATCTGTCCCCTGCCAAAGGTGCAAATATAACATTATAAGGACCTAAATATGAATCTTTTGTTATTCCCATTAGGTACATTTTATATAGAGTATACTGGTGGATTTCCCATTTTTATTTCACCGGCGCGTGGTACTGTACAAGCTCAATCATCAGTGGCTGTCAAAATAGAATTCTGTGCTGATAAGCCACTTACTGTAAATGAGGTAGCAAGGTGAGTGCATACTACATATCATGTTTCTTGTTCATATTCAAATATGCCTTTTATGTTCTGTTTTACCAATATACTAGCTATTTGTTCCTTTATTCAGAAGTAATTCACAGATGTCCTTCTACTCACCCAAAACTAGGGACTGGAACATGGTAAGTAGTAGAGGATGACATGTAGGTACACACAGGAGGGACTTATTACGGACGGAGATGAAAGTTGAACCAAAGACTCATTGACAAGAAGGATTAGCCAGGCAAGAGAATGGCCATGGTGGTGATAGTGGTGTGCATTTGTACCTCTTGTGTGTAGGAGGAGGTGAATGTTGGTGAATGAAGTGAGTTTTGGTGATACTATTGAGTGGTATTTGGGGACAATTTTAAGTTCAGGTAGAAGCAGAGACAATGGAGTCCCGAGATGATTTTAAGACAGAAGTATTTTAATTCATTGGTGGGTGCCATTGGGTAATCTACTATAGTGACCCTATGTAAAACAGAACAAAACACAGTGAAGTGCCATCTTCATGAATAATTATGTTTGAGGCTGTTGTTGGAGCCGGTGTCCATCCCTCTTATAGATGATCTTTTTAGCTATGCCCCTCTAGTTGACTAAGCATGGTGTCCTCTTTTTCCTCCTGATAACATGTCCAACATATGTGAGAATAAATCTTTCCATCCTCACTTTTAAGAGGCATGCTGCCTGTAATTCTTCCAAGATAGATTTGCTTGTTCTGACAGTTCATGGTACTTCCAGCATTCTGCACCAGCACCCTCATTCAAATGCATCAGTTCTTATGCAGTCTTGCTTACTCATTGTGCAACTCTCTCATGGACATGAGGCGATTGAAAATACCATGGCTTAGGTCAACCCCTTAGTCTTCAAAGTGACATCTTTGCTCTTTAATACTTTATAAAGGGTTCTTGTGCAACGGAGTTGTCCAATGTAATACATTGCTTGATTTCTCGACTACTGCTTTATTGTGATGACAGGAGAGTCTCGACATTTTTGGTAAAAGAAATGTCTTTATTTGCTTGCACTTTAGCAAAGGCATGCTACTAGCAGTGTACAAAACATGTGAGGAAGTACCGGACAATTTGATATAGGAAGCCTGACTAGTTGTAATATACTCTTACTAAGAAGCAGAAGTGAAGTAAAGAAGGACTGAGCTAATCACAGGATTGATGTAGTGGATCAAATTGAGCAAGTTGGATAAATGTATCAGAGGCAGATTTCACTAGATTTGCTGTCTGATTATACAAAAGAAAAGAGGAGGGACTCCTGTGGCAGAAGGCCTTTTTAAATTCAGTTTTTATGGTTGGAATTGATTTACCTTTCAGAATCTGGGTAGAACTGGTTACGGTCTATTAGAAGTACATGTCTGCAGAAAGAACGGTATTCTAACTATATTGAGTTGAAGGGTCAGTGGTACTTAAGTGGCAGATGAAGCATGGAAGTGATTAGATTAGCTCAACATTCATGGCGAATACAGAAGGCCTAAATCGAAGATGAATGAAAAAGGTGGGCTTGAATGAGTTAACAGGAAAACTCGAAAAAATAAGGAGTCAAGGCAGAGAAGGGAGGAAAGATCGGAAAGAAGATGTTCTCAACGATGACCAATGCTGCAGAGTAAGAAATGGACTCTGTAGATAGGTGTGCAGTCGTTTATTATTTGTGGTATCTGGTGGAGCTAGCTTAAAAACTATTTTAGTTATGCCTTTTGCCAGAGAGGAATAAATGTAGGGGAAGAAATTCCAAAAGAAGATCGGAACTACAGTATTCTGGAAAGTCCAGTTGCATGGGAGAGGTATTCATTTCAGCAAAGACAGGGAGTTTTGCTGCTACATTAGTCTGTAAAGAGTCCTATAAAAAGATTGTTCTCGGCTGCTAGCCTAAAGGTTGACAGTTTGAATCTACCAGCTGCTCCCAGGAAGAAAAGACTTGCTCCCATTAAGATTACCAACAACCAAACTCACTGTCATCAAGTCAGTGCAGACTCACAGTGACCTCCCTGGGTTTCCGAGACTGTAACAATTTATAAGAGTAGAAACAAACAGTCTTTCTCCCCAGAAACCCCTGTGGGCCATTCTTCTCTGTCCTGCAGGGTCATTATGAGTGAGAATCGACTTGATGGCACAGAACAAAAACAACAGCAACTTGAATTTGCAGGAAATTGGGAGTATGAGATTGATTATTAGACCTGGGATGGAATGAATTAGAAAGACTCTTAAACTAAAAACTGAAATGGAAGGCTATACAAGTAATTACATAAGTAATTCCAACTAACTATTATTTATGAAATAATTTGTGATAGGAATGCAAGACTGATGTCTTTCAAAAGTCAGTTCAGGAGACTTATTTCAGTCATTGTTTTGGGGACACAATGAGTAAGACTGCATATGTGTCATTCTGTGGTGTAGGATCAGGCAAAAGGAAAGGACATCAGGAAGAAGGAAAGTGCTCTCACATTGTTCAATGTTAATTACAGTGAAACCTGTGAGAGCCAGAACAGCACAGGGCTGCCAGCCTTACCCCCAACTTTTTCCGACCTTGACAGTGAGCAGCCGCCCCACTTGTGTTAGTGGAAAAATTGAGTTTTGTTTCTCTGGCAAGGTTCCTCAATTCTACTCTGTCCTTATGGTATAATATGATTTTTTGAGTTTGTTTAATCAGATGTTTAACAACAACAAAAAAAGTATACACGTTCCCAGTTAAAATATATTTGCATCTATTCCTATTTTATTGTCTTGTAGAGTAAGCTTGCAAGGGCACTCAGGTGTTATCTTGACAATTAAAGCTGATGTGGTTGAGCAGATAATTGAACTGCTAAATATGAGCGCTGACAGAAGGATCGAGTGTATCCGGTTTGGTTCCGTTTTCTTTGGCACATCTAGAATCGAACATGCCCTTTTGTATAACAATAGTCCAGAAGCGATAAATTGGGTGGCTATCATGCAAGACGATGCTGTCGGAGAAGAACTGGTGAGTAAATACTTTAACAAGACAAAATCAAGGAGTATGTTTTGAAACAGAGTATTTAAAACCTACTAATGACCAGCACAAGGAGCCTGGTGACACAGAAGGTTAAGGGAGGGGTTGCTAAGCAGAAGACCAGTGTTTCTAACCCACTAGCTGCTCCATAGGTGAAAGGTGATGCCATCTATTTCCATAAAGATGGACAGCCTCAGAAACCTTATGGAGCAGTTTTGTTTGAATCAGAATTACTTCGTGGGTAGTGGGTGTGGTTTTAATAACCTACAAACTATTTTCTTATGTGAAATATGTTTTAAAACAGGCAGGTTTATTTCATATTTTCCCAAAAGTAACCTGAAAATCCCAGTAAATTAAATTACTATTAAATTAAATTACCACTGAGGGTAATAAATAGCTGATGGGGATTTCAGTTCTCATTAGTTTTTCAAGTTGATGATGTGCCTTGGTCACATTTATGTGTGTCACTTTCAAGACCTGTAGATTTTTCTGTACTTTATAGACTCTGAAATGTCAGTAACTCTTTTATGATCCACATTTGAAACATGTACTACTTAAGTTTTGCCTTACTCCTATTTATTTCTGATTTTATATTACAGGGAACAAATGTTCGCCAAAGAACTGATATTGCTTTAAACAACCTCACCTACATACCTAAAGCAAAAGCTGCAGATTTGACATCGTTTATTTCCTGTATTCCTAATGAAGGCTTTTTATCACCTTACGGAAAGATTGAAATTACATTATGTTTTAGCCCAAAGTAAGCAGCACTTTATCCAATTTTGATGCCAATTATTAGTAGAAAGCATACTGACTATACAGTTATCAAATCGACTCTAATACTATTTTAGTAAATTTTGTCAGAAGGCGTACATAAGAATAATATGAATATTTGTAAACCAGTTGATAACACCTGTAATATTTCTAAATATGGCTCAAAATTTTTTGTACTAGATTAAAATTTTCTCCAAAATTCATAGAAATCAGGTTGTGGACATGGAAATTTTGGGTTGTGGTCAGAATCCAGTTTAAACAACCAAGACTTGATTCTTCAAAGGTTACTCATGAGACTTTTAATGCCATGCTGTATGCTCTGCATGTCTCCGAAGAGATAGAGGGTACCTGATAGGGCAAAATGCCTAGTGATTGAGGGTCAGCTGCTGGAATCAGGCACAATTGCTTTCCGAAATTCACATACAAACATATGACTCACAATGCAGTGTGCTTAGTTGGGTTATTTACTGTGAAAATATACTTGGAAAATGTCCTTTAATTGGAAAATAGAGGTTGCAGCTACACATTGGAAGTTTTCCAAGTTTGTCAATAACTGACCCAATTAAAAGTTAGAGGTCTATGCTTTATGAACTTCTATCTGTTGCAAAGGGGTCAATTGGTGACATCATTCACTTGTGTCTTAATGTAAGGAGTGTAATGCTGCATTAAGCCAGGAGAAAGTTTCTGAAGTACAGTCTTGGAAACCCACAGGGGCAGTTCAATCCTGTCCTATAAGGTTACTATGAGTCAGAATAAACTTGATGGCAGTGAATGTGGCGTTTAGAATACATCAATCAGTTGTTCTACTTGCACAATTTACCATCATCCTATCAATTTAATCTTATGAGACCCATGTGCCAGGGTGCTTACACTGTTTTACATTCTCATATAATATTGGGTGGACTTCAGTGAGCTTATACGATTTTATTTAGTACACAACTCTTTGAGCTTTCCAATATTCCTTTTCATGCCAGTACATTACTTTATTTGTAAATCTAGCATAGACCCTCATAAGTTGAATATTATTTAAAGTCTCAGTTAAATATTTTTTGAACATGGTATTTTCAATTGTCTCCAATATTGCACAGCCTTTTGCACAGTTATTTAAGTATCCATGGAAAATAAAAGCTAGCCTCTGAGTAAGACAGGTAAGGTTAACCAATGAACCGGCCTGGGGCAAATCCCTTATGGGTCTTAGTCCTAGTTCTTTCTGGTCTTCTTTCTCTTTTCTTCTCTAAGCACATTTGAGTGTTGGAACGTGGCTAGAAATATGTACACTGGGGAACAGAGATATGTAACAGAATATATATATATATAATTTAATATTACAATAGAAGTAAGAGGCTACTGTGGAGGTTCCAGCTGATTCTTCCAACAGCAGCAAACTGCCTGGAACCAGAATCCATCACACCACAAGTGGCATTGGAGTTTCTAGCTTAAAGAATTAGCATGAGAAAGATAAGGCTCTCTGCTCCTGTAAAGACTTAGCACCCTAGGAAACCCCCAGGGGCAGTACAATAGGGTAGTTAGGAATTGAACTTGACTCAATGGCAATGAGTTTGGTTGTTTTTTTGTTGTTGTTGTTCTTTGAAGAATTAATATATTTGAAATCACAATTGTCCTGCGAATCTTTATATAAACGTATTTTTATGAGCTTTACTTTGAATGGTTTTCTTTTGGAAAGGTCCTTCATTTCTGCAGTAATTTTGGAAAAGCTGTGACAGCTTTATTTGTATTTCCTAACTGTTATCTTCTGACAGGTGATAATATGTATCCCTTTCCCTGTAAAAATAACTGTGGTGAATTTTTACAGATTAGTTGATGATGGCAAAGTGGATATTGATGCATCACACCGTCAAGACTATGCTCTGTTCTTGAGATTTGAGTCTATAGGAAGTAAAGATAGTTCTTTGAAAGATTATGACAATGAAATGAGCAAAAGTAAGTGGGAAATAAATACAATAGCCTAATATACAACCATTGAAATTCTTTAAAATTTGAACATGAATATTACAGAGGAAATTTAAACAATACAATGTGTGATTGTTGAATAGAATAAAAATGTATCCCTACTCAAGACACCTTAAAATTCCATGTGTGGCTTGTTAATAATGATGTCAAGCATAGACTTATTGACATAATAGTTTTGCTGGTTAAGACCTAAAACTTCTGGTTAGCACCCTAACCACAGTTATTCTTGTTTTAACAGACCAACTATTTCAGAGATTGGAATTAGCCGTCACAGGCTCAGGACTCCCTGTGTTACTACAGTTTGATCCAAAGATCCTTAATTTTGCACCATGTGTCATGGGAGAACACTCAGAGATTCTTTGTGTCATGCAAAATCAATCCCAATCACTCCCAGTGATATATCGCTTTCAAAGAATAGCGCATTTTAAAATTGATCCTGAAAAGGGTAAGATTGATGAAGGATGTATTCAGGTAAGATAATTATTCATTGCTTTTATATTACTTAAATATTTAAAATACTATTCAGAAAATAACTACATTTTTCCCACTCATATTTATAATTTGTGTATCTTCTGTGGTCAAGTTATCCATGTTTTTCTATTGACACTCAGAAAGAATCCATAATTCTATGCAATCTTGAATTATGTGCCCTTCCTGGAGGGAAAATGCCTGAATTCCCACCCCCCTCCCTGAACTCTGGGCACACATATTCAAGATTGCACTGTAGGTGCCCTATCACGAAATTTGAATGTGAAGTTTAGAGATGAAACAGAAAATATAGGATTCATCCTGTGAGCTACAGTTGATGTTGGTTTTGACAGTGGATCTGTAATGTCATGGCCTGGATTTCCAAGTCTTCTATTAAATCTTTGAGTCCTCCACAATCCTACCAATAAACTCATTTTCTGTTTAAGATAACTAGAGTAAGCTTCCATTGTTTTCAACCATGAAAACTTGCAATAAAATTGGGCTAGCTACAACTACTACAATTTCAAAGTGCTGAAAAACTATTTTTGTTCTTTCTTTCATTTTATTTCTCTCCTTTATTCTTTCCTACCTGTTTAAAACACTATTTTGTGTTTTAATAGACATAACGGTTGTGATAAAATTATCAGTAAGGTACAAGATAGGAATATTGAAGCGTACTGTTACAGCAGAGACAACAGCATAGCCAAATAGCCAAAAATATGTTTGGAGAGACTATGGAATATGCAGGGATTAGTCAAAGTCTGATTTGAGCCTACTCTACTGAATATGCAGTGAGGTAGTTGGAAATAGAGTCAGGAGGTTATAGGATCAAGATCAGATTGTGGAGGACCTTGGAAGGGAAGAGTTTGGACTGACTTTAATAATCCTTTGAAATACACTGAAATATTATGAGTGGCCTTTTAGGTCGTTGTTATAGGATTGATTGGATGAAAATATATTTAAAGCAGAAACTGAATCGGCTCAGTTTTATAACCATATGCAAATACATTAACAATGAGATCTCTTTGATAGTGAGTTTTCTCTCTTAGACTATAGTGAATTTCTGACTTCAAGGGACCATGAAAGCAAACCAGACCAACTCATTGCCATCGAGTCAATTCTGACTCATAGAGACCCTAGAGGACAAAGCACAACCGATTCTGTGCAGTTGCAAGGCAATAAATCTGTACAGGGCAAGAGAGCTTCATCTTTCTCTATCAGAGTGGCTAATTCAGTAGTTCTCAATCTTCCTAATGCCGTGACCCTTCCATTCAGTTGCTCATGTTGAGGTGACCTGCCAACCATAACATTTTATTTATTTATTTATTTTTAGTTTTTTGTTTTTTTAAACAAGTTTATTGGCACTTCATCCACAAATCATATAATTCAGTAATTAGTCATATCAAGAAGAGTGGTACAGTCATTAACACAATCAATTTTCTTTTTTTTTTGGTTGTGATTTTCTTTTTTTTAAAAATTTTTAAAAAATCATTTTATTAGGGGCTCATACAACTCTTATCACAATCCATACACACATCAACTGTGTAAAGTGCATTTGTACATTCATTGCTACTTCATAATTGTAATTTTGCTACTGTTATGAATCAGGTGACCCTGTTGTTTGACCCCCAAAGGGGTTGCGACCCACAGCTTGAGAACCACTGGGCTAGTTGGATCGAACTGCTTACCAGAGCTACCTGAAAGGACTACAGATGAGAATAAAATATAATTGATAGAAATATCTTAGATTGAAAAAATGGAGTGAGAATTATATTTTTTATTTGAGTTTACCAGATTAAAAGCCTGAGAGGAAGGATTCATGTGTAAGTTAGTTAGTAAGGAAATGCCCCTAGGGGATATTAGTAAGGGAGTGGGATATCCCAGGACGTGAATGGGGAAGGGTAGAGAAGGAAACCAAAAAAGTATGTATTCTCAGACAAAAACCCACTGGATCAAAAACTAAACCCACTGCTGTTAAAGTTGTTCCATCTCATGGCAACTTTGTAGGACAGAGTAAAACTGCCCCCATACAGTTTCCAAAGCTGTGAGTATGTTAAGGGACTGTCCCATCTCTCTCCCATGGAGCTGAATCATGCAGGAGAACTCAGGGCATATAAGTTACAGCTCAGAGATATTCAGACTTGAGGCAAAGGCATTGGTCTTTCACATTCTTTACCTGTCTTAAGATCTTTTGGTTTGCGTTCATCTACTAACCTAAAGGTTGGATGTTCCAATCAGTCTAGTAGCAATGAGGAAGATGTCTGCTTCCATAAAGATTACAGCCAAGAATGCTGACTAGAACAGTTCTACTTTATAACATGTGACACTGCCATAACTGGAAAGTAGATTGCTTTTGCGATGTTGCTTTTGTGGTTTTCTTGAGAAGCATTGGTTAATGACACTGGAAAGTAAAAGATAAGATGCCTAGGCATCTCTGAGCATCTGTTTATATAGATAAAAAACCCTTCTAAGGTTTTTCTTGGGTATGTATACTGGCCCGTACATGTGTGTGGATTTCTAGATACCTTGGAATATGTCAGACTTTTTCAGATACCCTATGGATTTCTTGTTCCCCAGGTTTGTTTTTTCTTTCTTTTACATTCTTCCTTCCTTTCTCCCACCCTCCCTCCTTTCTTTCTTTTTTCGTTGTTATCTGCTTTTTCAAATCTGTGACTATGTTGCTCCTCAGGCTGTTTAGTTTTTGGTGTGGGGGGGCAGAAATTGCTGTGATATTCAGCAATTACTTGGGATTTATTATTTTAATAAACTCTAGAGAGAGGGCTGTTTATACAGGGAGTTCTGTAGCAAGTCAGATAAAAATAAACCTCCAAAATAAGTGTTTCATTTAACTGCCAGACAACACAGGGATGAGCTGAGGCTAGTGGAGCACTTTGCCCATTCTTCATCCTCCCTTGAGTGCTGTGTTAGTCTGGGTTGACTAGAGAAACAAGTTCATAGACACTCATATGTGTGTATGAGAGAACTTTATATCAAAGAGCAATTGTGCATTAAGAAAATATCCCATCCCAGTTCAGATCAAATCCATAAATCCTATATTACCCCATATATCGATACTACTCCATAAATTCTTCTTTAGACTTATGCAACCATGCAATGACGCCGAATGCAGGAAGATGACAGGCCAGTGGGTGGAAAGTCTTGTGGATCCAGTGATGGTAGAAGATCTCAGTGCTGGTGTGGGTCTCCATGTGGCTCCTCCAGCTCCAGGGTTATGGCCCTATCAGTGTAGCTCCATGTGGCTTGTCAGCAGGAATGTCTCCCAGGGAGATTATGTATGTCAACCTTCCAGTGAGCTATTTGTGTCCTTAGTGCCTCCAAATGAGGTCATCAAGCTGTGACCTGATTGACAGGGTAAACTTTACCCCTTCACTCTTAAGTCTCAAGTTGACACCAGATTATGTAATTGGCACAAGTGCCATACTAATGGTTGTCACGATCATAACTGAAGACTTGTTTTCTAAGTCTACTGTGGAACTGGGGAGAGGCCAAGGGGATTGTTGTTGTTAGATATAATCAAGCTAATTCTGACTCATAGAGGCCTCATGAGACAGGAGTACTCTTCCATAGGGTTTTCGAGGTGATAGTGTTTACGGAATCAGCTCACCATGGCATTCTCCCACAGCGACTGTGGTTTGGTAACAGTGGAGCACTTAACTGGTGCACCACCCAGGTTCCTTCAGGTGGGGTTTAAGAAAATTAAAACACCACAAAGCATGCTGTTACAGGTATTCAGTCCATTTTTCTTCAATAAGTACTCCTCAGATTTTGCAAGGCTTTAATTAGTTTACAGGTATATGAAAAAACTGATTTTGACACTTTGGCCAGTGTTCTTTCCTTTTACGGAGAAGTCTAATTTTGGAGTTCCTTACTCCACCTCTCTGGAAAATTTTAAAAGGCCATTGTTATTATTTATTGAAGTACTTTCCTGTCCTGAGTTTTTTAAAAGTCAGTGCTGTAGATGCTGTTTCTAAAACACTTTATCTCAAGGATAATGTAGCTTTTGTTGACAATTTGAAAACATTGATTTCAAATTTGCTTTGTTTCCTCTAATGATATTATATTATTGTTTACTTTTCTTCCTCTCTTTTAGAATATCACATGTTCGTTTACTCCACGCCACATTGGAAGCTTCAAAGTGAAACAAACCATCGAGATTATTGGCCTAGTGGCTGATAAGTCCTTACAAACTTTATCTATGAAACCTTTTCATTATATACATTTAGATTTCACCAGCGTCTGCAAACCTCGGAATAAGAGAGTTTTGATGAAAATTAATCCTGGTATGCTTATTAGTTTTAATATATAATTGTCTTCATATACTGAACAATACAATTAATATATGATAATATATTGAAAGCAGCCTGATCCTGTGGTTCGCAGTTTTTTTAACGTGCATTGAAATCACCTGGAAACTTATTGAAATATGAATGATTGCCCCATATCTCAGCACTGGTGATTAAGTAAGTCTGTGGTGGGGCCTAATAGCATTCATTTCTGACAAATGTCCATTAGAAACTGATGTTCTAAATATCACATTCCATGTCTCAAATTTTGAATACTACTGGTCTGTTGTCTGAAGGTGAGTTAGTTCTGACTGATAGTGACCCCGTATGACAGGGGAGAACTACCTTGTACCGTTTTCTAGGCTGTGGTCTGTATGTGTGATGATCCTGGACTTTTCTCTTTTGAAGCCCCTGGGGGCCTCTAGCCACCCTTTGGTTAAAGCTGGGCTCTTCATTGAACTACCAGACCTGCTCCTTATAGGTCTAGTCAACCATAAAAGTAATGAAATATTGTCATTTGTTTTTGTTTTAGTTTTTCTACTTTGTGTTTTTGTCTATAATATCGATGTATTTTACACGATGCCACTTTTAAAACATTGTTGCAAAAATATAGATAAAATATTTACCAATTCAATGTTTGTCAATGATACAGACCAGAGACACCAATGTCACTGATTATATTGTGCAACCATCATTGATATCTGTTGCCAAATATTTCACCCTTATAAGCAGAAATTCAGTGTTTCTTTGTCTTTATGCTATTTACTTCCACTTCAATTATCTCTTATACATTGAACCATAAGATATTGCTGAAATTCATCTCTTTCAAACTCTAAATATCGGTTTCCTTTGGCCAATGTAATTCTTCAAGTCCCTTTGTAATTTATGGATGCTAGCATTATGCAGTCAAATTATAAGAAATTGTGTTTTACAGAGAACCATCTTTAACTTAATTCATTGCATTTAATCAATACATATGCTTATTTAGAGCCTAAGCATTTAATTTATAAGCCAAGTTGCATGCTTCTTAATTATTATTAATAAAATAATTATCAAACATTACATGAATATTGGTTGGAAAGAGAAATTCAAAAAGCTATATGGAAACTTAATATTCTGTTCTCCAAAAGGTATTTCTCCATTGATCAGCAATCCAACAGGACAATTTGTGATAGAAGATTTTGCAAAACGCAAAGACTTTGCTCCTGTCGCAATGCTTCAGTCATGTAAGACGAATCTTCATACACACCAGGCAAATAAAGATGCCGTAAAGCATGCGCTGATAGCCTTTCCCAATGATCGAGCTGCAAGTATCAGGCCTGGAGAACCATACAAAGATTTCAGGTATCATACAATAGTCAATAATTAAAAATCCAAACATTTGAAAGGAAGACATGCATTGTTTGCAGAAGTCTAATCATATCTGCTTTACCAAACTAATAATGGTAATAGAAATAAAACCATTTTCTCATATTTCTAATTGGATAGAGAAAATTGTTGAAGGTTTCATATTAGCTTTAGCTAACTTCTCATAATTTATAGGAATAATGGTTAGGAAGTGAATATTTCACCAAGTGCTTAAAAAAAATAAGTTCTGGAGAAGTATGATGAAAATCCCACTTAGAATGAATCCTCAGTGAAGCCATGTTCAATAAATATGGAGCCAGCTTTCTGAAACACTGAAAATTGTGAGAAGCCAATCATCATCATTGTCACCCTCCCTATCATCATCATTATCATCATCTTTGTTATGAACCTTCTGAATACATAGCATCTCCTGTCATCTTTCCAAAATTGAACTAAGCTTCGTTCAAAAGAACCGTTCAAAAACAAAATTCACTACCATCAAGTTGATTCTGACTCAGTTTCTGAGATTGAATGTCTCTATAGGATTAGAAAGCCCCGTCTTTCTCCAAGGAACCGCTGGTGGTTTCAAACGGCTGACAGTGGGGTTAGCAGATCGAAGTATAAACACTATGCCACCAGCGCTCCTTAAGAAAGAAGGAGAGAGAGAGAGAGAGAGAAAAGAGGAAGAAACATAAGTGACGTTCAATGCCTATTTAAATGTATCCAAGTCTCAAAGATATAACTACATTGCCAGTGATTAAGGATTAGGGAGGGACTTTGGTATATTGACAATTTTATGTGTCTTAGTGCCAATGACAAGAAAGGTTCTTATCAGAAATGGAAATAAGACTCTGTTAAGGCTGCTTGCATGCTACTAGTTCTGTGCCAACAGAATTGATTCTGACATAGTGAAGCAAAGTCTCATTGACAAGAATGATTCACCAGACAAGAGGGAGTGGGAGTGGTGGCGTTAGTGATAGTGGAGATAGTGCTGTGTGAACAGAATAGGGATTCCTAGGCTATCATTTTTAAGGGAGCAGATCAGCAGGTCTTTTCTCCCACTGAGTGGCTGATGACTTTGAATGCCTAAACTTTTTTTTTTCCGGTATAGCAGTCTAACACTTAAGCTTTTAGCATAAGTAAATAAACAACAATGCAATGGGACCCTATCTAGGGCATTTGAGGCTATAATTCTCTGTGAGGACAGATAGACTTATCTATCCCCCGCTGAGGCTAGTGGGTTTGAACAGCTGAACTTGAATTTAGGTGTTCAATGCTTACCCAAAAAGGACCACAAGCGTGCCTTAGTAGACTATGTTTGGTAATGGATCCAAGTAATCTCCACTTTTCTCTTTGCCATTGCTAAGTCATTTTCTTAAAATATGGGTTCATATTTAGACCACAATTGTTTTCTAATTTAAATGGAAATTTCTGTTTATTTCTATAGTCAATCTTATTATTTTATTAATCAGAAATGTAAAAACCACCTAGACTATATTTCAAATAATTATATTGCATAAGAATTAAAACCACTTTTCTACCTCTGGCTCATGGCACTTCATCCCACCCTGCAGAGACCAATACTGAAAACAATTTCATTTTTCCCCTCAAACTTAATTCTTTTCAACTGTTTCCTAAGCTTATACAAGTATATATATGAAAATTATATATTAATTTAATATTAACCTTTTGATTCTATCTAAGGTGATCATAATTACATGGTATAAAAAAGTGCTATAACTTTTTTTTAGCAAGAAGGCTAAAAAGAGAGCAACAGGGGTGGGGTGCACACAAGGGGATACGGTGAGTGGAATGGGGAGTCAAAATAGTTATAAGAAGGAAGAAAATGCTCCGAATTTGATTGTGGTGATTGAATTGTATGATATGTTAATTATATCTCAATAAAATGATTTAAAACTATTTTTGTGCAAACAAAAAATCGCTGAACATTTCAAATGTATCTCAAAGAATTCTTTTACATACAAAAATGCCAAATTGTTGGTGATTGTAATTTCTATTTCATTTCTAATTAATTTGACCTTTTCAATTCTTAAAACTTAAGTAAGGTAGGGCTTTTCTCTAGTTTATACTCACTCCAGTATGCACTTTGCTCTCAGATACATGTTAGGTATGTAAATGAAGGGAAATTTTGTTTTACTTGTCCTCCATACTTTGCATAATAAAAAATCAAGTACATCAAGCTGCAGTTATTTAAAGAGCTGATAAGGATTTAGAAACATTATTAACCCATTTATTATTTAAGGTATTTACTACTTTTTTCCTTGACCCCTTTTTTTAATTTTAGATCTTCTCCCTCTGTCTACCTATCATAGTCAGTTCTGCCTCATCTTGATCCTATAGGACAGAGTAGAACTGCTCCTGTGGCCTTAAGAAACTGTAAATCTCTACAGGATTAGAAAGTGTCATTATTCTTTTGCAGAGCAGCATGGCAGTCTTGAACTGTTGACCCTACAGTTGGCAGCCCAATCCATAAACCACTAAGCCAAGTTCAGATATTAAACCAATAAACCAAACTCATTGTCATCAAGTCAATTTTGACTCATAGTGACTCTATAGGACAGGGTTGGACTGCTTCAAATGGTATATGAGACAGTAACTGTGTGGGAATAGAAAGCCTCAACCTTCCCCCGCTCACTTTAGACATTATTGTTATTGTGGTTAGGTGTCATCAAGTTGGTTCTGACTCATTGCAACCCTATGTAAAATAGAAGGAAACACTTTAGACATCACTAACATTTAAAGGTGGTTATGCTATGAGGTTGCTATGAGTTGGAATGATGACAGCGGGTTTGTTTTGGTTTGGAAAGGCTGTCAGGATAAATGAAGGGAATTTTAAATATCAAAGACTCATACTGTAACAGAGTATTTGTTTTTCTTTAATTGTGAGTCTCTAACAAAGCAGTAAGCATTCAGAAATTGTTAAAGAAAAGAAAGATGGCATTTCATTTAACTATGGAGACTTATGCATATAAGTGAATTACTGAGGGCTAGAATCTAAATGGTTAAATTTCAATATGGAAATAGACCAAGGTTAGAGGCTTGCCTAATAATACTTTTTAATTTCTAATCAAAGTATATATTGGGTAGAAAGAAAGGGGATTCGCAGATGAATGGAAAAGAGATATAAAGTAGTTTGCTGTTATTTTATGAATTTTTCCCAGTAGTATTTGTTGGTGGTTATTTCACAAATGTATGACAAAATAATTCATTCTTTTATTTCTTCCTTCTTATTTTGCTTGCAGTGACCTAAAAGCAGTTATTTGCAAAGGAGTCAACTTTAACTCGGGGTGACTGCCTTGTGTGTAGAACAGATTGGCTCCATAGGGTTGTCCTGGCTAGCACCTTTCAGAAGCAGGTCACCACTGGGTGGGTTCGAAACACGAACCTTTCTGCTAATGGTCAAGCACATTAACATGTTGCGCCACCCAGAGACTTTTATTTCTCTGCTTAGCATAAAGCAAAATTTAGGTCTCACTAGTGTTATAGACTGTTATAGACTCAAAAGTGTCATTACAGAATAGGATATGAAGGCAAGGACTAGAATTGTCCCTGTTCACCATTAATTTTTCACCATCTGACACAGAGGCTGGCTAGAGGGCACTGAATAAAGACATCAGTTCTAAAACAAGTAAATAAATAAATACTGATTGAACAAAGCACATATAATGCATATTAACCTAATTTTCCTCATATTTTAGGACTATATTTACAAAAACCCCTAGGCACTACTATGTTGATCCGGATTTTGCTTATACTAAAATTGAAGAACTGGGGAAGCGAGAAAATGAAAATTACTATGGAAAATATATAAAAGATTTAAGATGTGTGCGCCTGAAGAAACAAGCAGAGAGGTAAAGTTCACTTTTTCAAATAATAAAATAATGGGAAACCGTTCATTGAGCCTGTTGCTGTGAGTTGCCATCTTAGCTGGCCCAGATTCATGACAACCTTATGCATAACAAAACAAGGCATTGCCTGATCTTGTGCCAATTCCATGAGCCCATTGTGGAGGCTGTTTTGTCAATCAATCTTTCCAGAAATTTTTGTTGAATTTCTTTTTCACATACTATGTCTTTTTTATTTTTTCAGGGTTTTTTTCAGCTTTTGGTCTTTCCTGGTGATTGGGCTCAAAGGAAGCCAAATAAAACCTCTCTATCCTGTGATATTTTAATATAGAAATTAAGCAAACCATTCAACTATTCCAATCAGACTTACTCTATTTTTGTAGCATTTTAATTTGGGGATGTCTTAGGTAAGTTTTCCCAGAAGCACAGACATGTGATTTAGGTAAAGTATGCTCTCAAGAGAAATGTGTGAATAGGTAAGGAAAGCCGGGAACAGAAATGAGGAAAGGCTTATAAAGTTTCCTCTTAGGTTGGCCCAAATATTTTTTTTGCATTAAACAATGTACTATGCTGTTCTTACTGTGCCAATCTGGCCTGTCTTTTGTATCACCTATTAGTCAGTGATAGTTTGTTATGCTTGGGTACAGTCATAGAGACCACAACTTCCTGCATCAGATATTTGAGAAGGGTTGGTCCCTCAGCACAGAACATTTTTCTACAGATAAGTGCACCAGCCTGCTTAACTAAATCTGAGTTGGGCACCGAGAGCACACACTGCAGGGAATGTTTTGATTTCCAGACATATTTATGAAAAGATTTAACATCGGTTTATTATTATTATTTTGATAGGAATTCAAAATATTCATATGATGACCTAAATATAGGCTTGCAGCCGGGATCAGGCCTTAAATCTCCTGTATTATCAGACAATGAAGTGGAAGAAGAATCAGCTCCAAAAGAAATTAAAGAGGACAGGTTGCTAAGTACCAGGAACATAGCAGACAAGGAAGAAGAATCTCTGCGAAAGGCATGCGCACTATTTCACATTTGCATTCTGCTGCTAACACCATGACTGAGGTTCAGATCTCCTGTGGGAGAGAGATGTGTCAATCTGCTTCCGTTCAGATTACAACCCTGGAAATACTATAGGACCGTTCTACTCTGTCTTTTAGAATTGATATGAATGGGGATCAACTCCACAGCAAGGGGCTTTTGGAATAGTTTTTACCTTTAAAAGTCTTAAAATGCTAACATTGAAAAATTGATATTAATATTGGGGGAAATTACGCTTTCTCGACAGATTCTGCATGGACTGAAATCAAACCCGTCTACACCTGAAGAAAAACAAGATTGCAGCTTAGCTTTGACACCAAAGCAAATTCATCAAGTAGTCATTGGTAAGAATCTACCCCCCAAAAAACCCTACTTGGGCCTTTTTTTTCCTGTTGTATTGAGAGATTTTATAAATTTCATCAGTTCAACATAGTAAGAGAATGAATTTTAGTCACACAGTTGTGTAACCAATATTACATTTTGGAGTATTGTCGTTCCTCTGCATTTTTCTAGTAGACCTGTGGGAATAGGACCCCTATCTGAGCTTACAATTCATTGTCTTCAAGTTGATTTTAACTCATACTGACCTGATAGGACAGAGTATAACTGCCCCTGTTGGTTTTTGAGACTGTAACCCGTTTTTTTATATCATGTTATTGGGGGCTGGTACAACATCACAATCCATACATACATCCATTGTGTCAAGTACACTTTTACATTTGTTGCCATCATCATTCTCAAAACATGTTCTTTCTACTTGAGCCCTTGATATCAACTCCTCATCTTCCCCTCCCTCCCCCACCCTCCCTCCCTCATGAATCCTTGATAATTTATAAATTATTATTATTTTGTCATGTCTTACACTGTCCAATGTCTCCATTCACCCACTTCTCTGTTGTCCATCCCCCAGGGAGGGGGTTGTATGTAGATCATTGTGATCAGTTCTCCCTTTCTCTCCCACCTTCCCCTTACCCTCCTTATATCGCTACTCACATTATTCACCCTGAGGTATTTTTCTGTCCTGTATTCCCTGTGTTTCCAGCACTTATCTGTACCAGTGTACATCCTCTGGTATAGCTGGATTTATAAGGTAGAATTGGATCATGATTGTGGGTTGGGGTTGAGGAGGAAGCATGTGAGGGAGAGTGGAGTGGAGACCCAAAGCTCATTAGTAGGCAACTGGACATCCCCTTACAGAAGGGTTGTGGGGAGGAGATGATCCAGTCAGGGTGCAGTATAGCACCAATAAAACATTCAACTTTCCTCTAGTTCCTTAATGCTTCCTCCCCCCACTATCATGATCTCAATTTTATCTTACAAATCTGGCAGGCCAGAGACTGTAAGTCAGTGTTTCTCAACCTTCCCAATGCCGCAACACTTTAATACAGTTCCTCATGTTGTGGTGACTCCCCCAACCACAAAATTATTTTCGTTGCTACTTCATAACTATAATTTGGCTACTGTTATAAATTGGGCAACCCCTGTGAAAGGGTCGGTCAACCCCCAGATTGGGAACCACTGCTGACTCTTAACGGGACTAGAAAACCTCATCTTAGCAGCCCTACTTATAACCCAACACATGAATAGTTTGTGTTCAACTACTAACTTACAAACCCACTAGAGGGTACCATTGAAGAAAGACCTGGTGAGAACATCCCATGGACTTAGTTGTAATGGGTAGCACATGTGATCCCCATGAGTCAACTTGATGAAAGTGGGTTTGTTTATATGTTTTCAAGACAGGATATTTGATTTTGCAGGAGGAAAGGGAGCTTTAAGGCATGCAAATTTGGGTAATAAGATCCATTTTCATGAATATTAATAATGTTTACAAACATGGGGGTACCCAAAACATCCTGGAAATTTTTTTCAAAGCTATATATTTAAATTTTATTAGAAAACAACCTTATCACCTTCAAAGTACTCTCCATTACACTTAATATATTTGTCAAATCTGTGATTTCATTCTTGGAAACATTTTTAAAAACTCATCGGGCTGACAGCACTTCCCTCATTTTTTTTCACCTCTTCTATATTGTCAAATTGCTTTCCTTTTATGTCCCACTGTATTCACGGAAACAAAAAGAAGTCACATGAAGCGAGGTCAGGTGAGTAAGGTGCTGGGATAAGAGAGGAATGCTGTTTTGTTTTGTTTTTGCCAAAAACTGATGCAATGAGATGGCTGTGTGAGCAGGTGCATTGTCATGGTGGCAAAACCAGTCCCACGACTGCTACAAATCAGGCTTTTTCTGTCACACACTGTTATGCAAGCTTTTCAGAATCTCTAAATAGAAAGCTTGATTAACAGTCTGGCCTGGTGGAAAGAACTCTAAATGCACTATGCACTGAGTCGACATCTGGACAGATCCCCAGAACAAAGTTTGTCATCAATCCACATTTTACCTTTTTTGAAACGAAAAAACCACTACTACATGAGTTTTTCCCATAGTGCTGTCCTCGTAAACTGTATTTAACATCAACGACTTCTATGGCATTATTTTTTGGAGCAGGAAACAAAATTTCACAGCTGCATACTGTTCTTTTAAATTGACTATCACAAAAGAAGAGATTTGACCAAACTGCTTTTAGGAAAAAATTCACTGCAATTAGAGAGCACTTTCCCAGGCAACACCACTGCACCTACTCAGTTAGTTGTTCAATGCTCGCCTAGCAGGAAAAACGCATACTATGAAAGCGCTGCTCCACCTAGCGTAATTCTGTTTTT